TGGTGATAATTGAAAACCTGGTTTCGTGGCATTGCCATGTTTCTTGTATATATTGTAAATCTACATATATGTTAACTTTTGAAATAAATTCATAATTTGATTGCCTTTTGTTCAGTTAATCCCACTGCTGATCATTTGTCTTATTAAAAAGAAGATTTTATAAGTTTTTACTATATGCATTTATTACATGCTTTTCGGTGGTTTATAGAAATATATCAGTGATATAAAACTGGTAATTTCACTGTTTGAAACAGTGAAATTACCACTTTGATAATTTCACTGTTTTGAATTTAAGCCCCTTACGTTGTTTCAGTGAAATACAAGCGTGCACAGTACTGGGTACCAACTTAATGACGTGACGTCGTAAATGACGTCACGTTGTATTATTATTTGGCGCGCTTTTCATTCAGTTTTAGGTTAAATGTCTTTTTAAAACATTTCTTTGCATATAATAAAAAGAAAATTTGTTTAGTTTAGTGTAAGATTGAAATACATTTCACCTTGTGAACACCAAAAGTTCATATTTCACTCGTGGCTGCGCCACTCGTGAAATATACCTTTTGTTGCTCACTCGGTGAAATATAATCCGATCTTGAACTACTGAACTAAACAAATATCCTCTATATAGCCTCTCCCTACCTACAAAATTTCATGCCAATATCTCTTATAATCTTAGAGTTATGCTCCGGTCAAAGTTCATAATATAACAAGAGGGCCATGATGGCCCTGAGGTCGCTCACCTGTATATAGGCCTCCCCCCCCACCCCTGGCAGGGCCAATTTTAGTCCAAGGGCTTTTATTTGAACAAACTTGGTAGATACTCATAAGAAGATGTTTCATGCTAAACATCTAAGCTCTGAGCTCATTGGGTTTTTTCAAAGAAGATTTTTAAAGTTTTTACTATACACATATAGTTAACAAGAGGGCCATGATGGCCCTATATCGCTCACCTTGAGAAACAAGCAAAATGTTTATGAAATTCTTTAATGCCATTTGAAAATTAGTGTCAAATGTAAAGAATGTTTGGCCAAAAGCGACATGAAAGCAAACATGCTTTTTAAAAACATTTTTTTTGTTTTCTTCATTGGAAATTCTGAACAAAAACTGATACATCTCAATGTAAATGTATTGAACTTTATTGAGAACCATTTGATCTTGTACAAATGCTAAAGTCTATAACAAATGTGGGCTTATAGCCTTAATGTGCAAATGTTGGGACAATTGTTGGGTTGTTTATGTGACTTCTAAGGGTTTGATATGCTTGTTGGAAAGGTTTTTTTTTTAAATTGAGGAAATTTGTTGAGTTTTACAAGTTAATGAGAGACACTAAGACACAGTTACAAAATAATAATGAAGGCATAATTAAAGAAAAGTCTATGTGAGAAGGTATTTTAAGTGAACACTGTTTAACATTGTGGTCATATTTCTTTAAATAGTGAGGATTTAAAGCTATATTTTTAATAAAGCATTTTAAACTGTTATGTTCTCTGGCCAAAAAAATGTTTATGTAAAAAATAAGTCAGTTGTGGAATGTTACAGTTTGGCGTAAAGGCATAAGCCGTTTTTTTTGTTGTTACAGTGATTATTTTCCTTAAATTTGTTTAATTTATCAAGGAAACGGCCACGAAATTCCCATGAAATTGGGTTTTATTTCATTGTAAAACAATTTGAACATTTACTCGATTAAACGTTATAAAAATATCTGCTAATCAAACTGAAAGCAATTCAACTTTCAGAGTAAGTTAACCTTTTTAACTATTAATACATCAACGTAAAGACAAATTGAGATTTTAATCACTTATATCCTTTCGACGGCCATCTGCTGCCAAAGCGTAAGAAAATGTATCGAATTTTTACATTTCTGAAACCCAGTCTTATTTTACGACAGATGTCCATAGCATAGTTAAACATATAAAAAATATACCTTTCTAGAAACCGTAGCGTAAATCACCGTAAAACTTGAATTTTGTGTCATGCAAACCCGTAAAAACCTCGTTTTCGTACATTCTGGTTTTTTATTGTGTTCATGAAAAATCAAAATATTACACTATGGCTGTTCAACTGCATATGATAAACAACAAAGCCATACTGTATAACACTGTTAATATTAAGTTCAACTGCAATAAACAGACTCACAATTCTTATTTTTTAACACAAGTTCTGAACGTTTTAAAACATACAATTTTACGTTATTAACCTATACTATGGATATCGATTTGATTACCACATTAATTAAAAAGTGTACTGTATATCTAAACATTTACTATATCTGTCAATAAAGGGCACTATACAATTAACATATTTGGTGTTTTTATTTGAACAACATTTAACAGAGGGAAATAAATGAAAGGTAAACTTCAAGAATTTAGTCATTTAAAACTAAATTTTGGTGGCCTTCCTACGACAAACAGTAGTGGCTTTCAGGAAGACAAAATTTTATACCGGTTTATTACGTTATAGCCTTCTTATGACATTAGTGCCCAGCTTTTGAGAAGTCGATTTATCGGTACGTTTTATTACGCTATGGCCGTGGAAAGGAAATAAAATAAACCAGAAAAAAGACTAAATTGTAAGCTTCATTCGTGCAGATTGTAAATTTTTGGAGAATTGTGAACATGTTTGTCTGACCTTTTCTGAAAATTGTGACAGACCATTTGTAATTGTAAATGAATCCGTCATTCAATGCATTGTATTGTACATATGCAACAACATTTAGTAAAGTTTTTTAAAATTTTGGAAATGGTTAAATGTACCGTTGAGAAATTCTCTACAATTTTTAGAAACCCTGATTAGCTTGAACAAATTCTTCAATAATGATTACCCTGCTTTTTGAATTTAGGTTAAAATATTCCTAGCAGTAACCCAAGTTAACATTGTTGTTTTTTCTTGTTTTTCAAAAAAAGAGCAAGACATGTTGTAAATGTACCAACCTTAAAATGAATAATTGTTAATAAGTGCATTAATACCTAGAATTCATTTGAAGTTTAATTTCCCCTTACACTACAGATCTGCTGAGAATTTGAAAGTACTGGGCCCTACGCCCACTTCGTCTGAAAATGATTGGTCTTATGTAATTAATCGGACCCGATTTGGTAAAAATGCCGATCATGAATAGTTTGGTGCCTGAATGGCTGTTTTTTATTTAATATTTGTCAAAAAACATTCTGATACATAAAACATCTATGTCGTAAGAATTTCTCACACCTTTTGCAACCTTTAAAACTATAATAAATAATAATAAATAGCGACGAATCAAAAACGGGGTCAAATCTTTCCAAGACCTGTCGATGCACATTCATATAGATTTATTCAAGCTTAATGACCTGCTGATGTTTGCATACGACTCCCATACATGCTATCAAACATTTCAATAATAAAACAAGAGGGCCATGATGGCCCTGAGGTCGCTCACCTGTATATTGCCCCACCCTCCTGGGCCAATTTTTAACCCAAGGGCTTTTATTTGTTTATTTGAACAGACTTGGTAGACATCCATAAGAAGATGTTTCATGCTAAACATCTAAGTTCTAGCTCATTGGGTTTTTTAAAAGAAGATTTTTTAAGCTTTTACTATACACATATAGTTAAAAACAATGACACCCCTGGGGCAGGGCCAGTTTTGACCCCTGGGCTTTTATTTAAACAAACTATGTAGATATTTACTAAAAGATGTTTCATGCTTAATATCTAAACTCTAGCTATTTGGGTTTTTTCAAAGAAGATTTTTAAGTTTTTGCTATACACAAAAAGGAAAATCAATGACCCCCAGGGCGCGGCCAATTTTGACCCCGGTGCTTTTATTTGAACAAACTTTGTAGACATTGATTAGAAGCTGTTTCATGCTTTATATCTAAACTCTAGCTATTTGGGTTTTTTCAAAGAAGATTTTTAAGTTTTTGCCATACACATATAAGGAAAATCATTGACCCCCGGGGCGGGGCCAATTTTGACCCCAGGGCTTTTATTTGAACAAATTTGGTAGACACCCATTAGAACATGCTTCATGCTAAATATTTTAGCTCTAGCTCTTTGGGTTCTTTAAAAGAAGATTTTTAAGTTTTTACTATATGCATATAGGGAAAATCAATGACCCCCTGGGGCGGGGCCAATTTTGACCCCAGGGCTTTTATTTGAACAAACTTGGTAGACACCCATTAGATGATGTTTCATGCTAAATATCTTAGCTCTAGCTCTAAGAAGATTTTTAAAGTTTTTACTATATGCATATAGGGAAAATCAATGACCCCAGGGCTTTTATTTGAACAACTTTGGTAGACACTCACTAGAAGATGCTTCATGCCAAATATCTAAGCTCTAGCTCTTTGGGTTTTTTAAAAGAAGATATTTAAAGTTTTTTCTTTCGGTTGCCATGGCAACCAGAGTTCTGCATGGAATTGAATTCTTTGAACAATTTTTAAAGGTGACCACCAAAGGAACATTCCTGTGAAGTTTGGATGAAATTGGCTTAGTGGTTTATGAGGAGATGTCATTTAAAGTAAAAGTTTACGGACGGACGAACGGACGGACGACGGACGGACGCCGGACGAAAAGTGATCACAAAAGCTCACCCTGTCACTTTGTGACAGGTGAGCTAAAAATAAACAAAGGGCAATAAATCCAAAATTAGGCAAGACAGATTTAAGGCACTGCACATATACTGATTGAGATCTATCTACCTACAAAGTTTCATGTTGATATCTCTTAAAGTTTAAGAGTTATGTCCTGGACAAGATTTTTCTAAAAGGGGAGATAATTCAAAAACATAACAGAGTTATGGTTCTTTGACATTACACTCCCCCTCAATGCCTTCTACCACTGTGTGAAGTTTAAACAAATTATGTCCAACAGTTTTCTAGTTATGGATAAGACAACAGACTGACAAACGGACAGATTGACAGACCGAAAAGGCGGTGACTATATGCTCTCCCTTTGGGAAGCATAAAAGCATAGGCTATGAATTTCGAAGGCTATAGCATAAAATAGTATTTTAATTTACTTACCACAGACTAATAAATCCACCTGGTCTGATGTTGTTTGTGAAGCAGTAACTACAATCTCGTATTTTCCAGTATTATTTCTTTGGGCATTTGTAATTGTTATACTTCCAAAATTGTTTGCAGCAATCACATTGTATCCATTTTCTGGGTCTCTAGTACCCCCACCACCAAAATATGTCATAATATCTGTAGTGGTATTAAATGTCCAAACAACAGAGTTAATGGTGTCGTCAGCATCATCATAATTCCAAGGAATTGTAGCATCTGTTCCTACACAAACTTCAATATCTTCAGGACTTGATGTTATTGCTCCATCTTAATAAAAGAACAAAAATTTGTAACAGAGTTACCAACATTCCCAGTTTAAGGCAAGTTTTACAAAATTGTGCTATTTCAAAAGATTGAGGCATGGGTCTGGACTTTCAGTGCAAAACTTTGATCAATACTAGATTTGCTTATACAAGTTACAATAAATTCATTAAAGAAATATAATGAAATAACCCCCATGTATGTGTCAAAAGAAATACATTTTTATAGATGTTATCACTATTTCAAAGCCACAAAATGAGACAAATACAATATCAATACAGGATATGGTCTGTTACAGTGTATATTTTGTGTCCAGTCATCAATCAAGGTATGTGGGCAGTTCACCTATGACATTTTATTTGCATGGGTCTGACTCAGGGCTCATCCTGGGGGAAATTTAAGGGAGAAGTGACTTCCTCGTGAAAATTAGGGAGAAGGGAAACAACCCAATGTATATGCATTAACATGCATGGCTATACATCTGTTGTGGTGATGAAAAAATATTGTTAATCAGTGGTTTCTAAAAATAGAAGCAGGCCTCTATCCCACTTGGCACCATTGTTGTGGTGTTGAAAATTTAAAGTGTTTAGTCTTCTATAAATAGAATTTAGTTACCTATTAACTTATATTTACTTTTTAATGTTCTTAGTTTGCCCAGGAGTACTCTTTAATGGGATAAATTTAATCGTCAGGATGACACCACCCTTTGAATGCAAAGGGAAATAAAACACAAATGTTGAATAAATTTAAATCAACCAAATTTTTAATGAACTAAGTTTTTATTTACACTAAACTAAAAGTTACTTAAAACTAAACAAGTTGACAATAAGTACTGTAATATAAACTGTTAATATTTAAACCAAAAATGTGATTATCAGAATTTACTAGCAAAGTAAAAGATTTAAACCAGTTGAAAATTGTTAAAAATGTAATAACTGAAAATATGAAAAATAACCTTAATGATTCTGTGCTGTTAAACTAATAAATCTAAATAGTAGCAAGCCCTGTTTTAATATATGTCAACAAAAATAAAGATCTAATAATTCAAGATGGCTGCCACTTAAACAAAGATATTAATTAATCTTAATTAATTCTGTAAAAAATAATTACTTAAATTACTTACAAATTTATCAAAAATGTTTCAGTGAATTTAGATAATCTCTAAGGTTCATTTAAATGCCAAAGTGCCTAAAATAAATTAAATAATTAATTAATCAACATTAGAGAGCTTTTAGAGGTCTTACTTTTCCAAAAATTAGCAGCAGAATGACAAAATTGTCTAAGATGCTTGTATAAATGTACTTCTGAACCCCAGAGGGAGCTAGCATCTACCTACAGGTGGCACTGTATGTAACAACTTATCTGATTGGTCAAATTACAGCCAACCAGACTTTACTTAACAAATGCTCTAGGCTTATCAGTTCTTTACATAACAAGTCTAAAAATGGGTCAAAGACAGAAAAGGCCGGGTTGCATTTGTATACCAAATATCATGAGGCTGTGATGTTACAAAAAATGTTTACCATTGACCATTAATGTCAAAAATTTAACTAAGTCGGTAAACAGGAAGTGGATGAGCGACAGACCTGAAATCGAATCCCACAGTATAGGACCATGAGGCAATGCTGTATGCAGTCTTCGACTTAACCCACTCGACTGACGACCGAGTCGAGTAAATTTGCGGGTGGTCGAGTGAAAATTCCAAGCTGGTGGCCCGTCTGGTCGAGGGCTTTTTCATATCCAAATTAAGAAAATGTTGGAAATATGCAGAGCTCCAGATAGCAAATTGTTTTGGCTTTATGAAAATACAATATATTTCTGCTGAATTGGATTGAAAACTAAAAGCACTTTTGTCAACTTTGCTGTAAGTTGAAAACGAAAGTAGCAGGAAGTGGCATCGAGTACAAAGGGAAGGTAACTCTTGGGAGTTTCTGAAATGAAATTATTGATAAAGTTAAATTTGGTATAATCATCATAGGACTTAACCTAATATTCAATTTGTTATATATTATAATGTTTTTGCCACAAAAAATGTTGTACTTGCCACTTTAGCTATTGGAAAACATATTTCTCCCTTGCCATCTGCAGTTTTGTACTCAATATTTTCGTACCAAGTTTACAGGTATGGACAAAGGCTAATTCTTTGTGTATTAAAGTTTTAATTCTATTATATTTATTTTTCATTAATTCTAATTTCAATTATAAATAATCAAAACAAAAGAACGGCACTATAATGTAGTCTGTAGGAAAAGAGTATGAATAAAGCCTCATGCTGACCTTGTAGCTGATTGTAAAAGAATGTGACACATTCAAACAACAACATGTCAGCAACAAAAAAATGAGTCTTGTCATTAATTTGCTGTGTAACCTAAACAAACCCTAGTCTAGGGAAGCCTGCTTTTAAAGAGCAAGTTTTGTATTATTTCACATTGAATCAATGTTTTATTATAAGTCAGTCTGATTTATGTAAAGAAAGGAACTTTTTAGAAGGCAATGAAATTTGATAACAAAACAATGCAAATTCTTTTTATAAATTTTAACCCAGAATTTTCATTTTACTCTTGATTTTGATGGGTAAACCACCTTGGCCCTAAAAATTATTTGCAGCTTTATTAAACTTAAAACGCTTATGAAATATTGATTGTTAGACATTTATTAGGCGTCATCTCATGCTTCACAATATGTCTTTTCTCTTGTATTTTGAAGGCACTAAGCCAAAAAGGAACACACCAAAAAAAATATATGATATAAGTAATACGAAAAGGAATATAAATATGATGTCAATGCATGTATCAGCTGACATGGTTACAGTAAACGAGGAGTAGAGTATTTTCAGTTTTTAAACAATTTTTTTCAGTGTCTGTGGACAATGCCACAAAATTTTCAAAATATCTTCTTTTCGTATGTAGTTTAAACTCTTCTTACTTAAATAATGAAAGGAAGAAAAGTTGATTTGTTGATATTTTAATAATGTTAAATGGTATATAGGGCCATCCATAAAAAATTGTTTGTTTGTAGTGCTCCGACCGACCCATGAAAATGGCCCCGACTCTAAAAATTTTTTACACCTTCGAGGATTTTTTTTTTTTGAGATCATTATGTACCCATTCTGTTAAAAAGATGTTTCTCCAATAACTTTTCAGACAAATTTTGAACTGAGAAGTAGAAGAGTAAAAGAATTTTATTCCAAAACCAAAATAAACGCACGCTTTTCATCGATATTTTGCCAAACTTCGACCCCGAACATCGGCGATTTCACATTCGCCAGAAATCTTAAAATTTCGCAAAGGGCATAAAAATTCTCAGTTTCCAAGCCAAACATGTGAATGAATTGTTCTTTTGTTAATTATTTAACATTAAATCTTATAAAAGTCGATCCCCTTTTGAAGATGTTAGCTAAAATAATTGCCGATCGGATGAATCTCTTACACACTGTGTGAAGCTGTACTCGATTTTCCTATTCATTCCACTAAATGCTGCATATATACGTACACGGTACAGTTTATGGAAATGATGCCCTCTTCAAGGCATTTTTACAAATATAAAGTTTTCGTCTGGACATATTAAACCAGACTAAAATTCGATTTATTTTTGATATAAAAGTGAAAAAAAAAAAAGATTGCAACCTTGCTTCAAAGATAATATACATACATCAACGAATGTTAAAATGGATTACCCTGCGTAACCATAGGCCACCACTGTATACATATATTTTTACACAAAATAATACCAGAAAAACTTTATTGTTGACATAAATTAATTTAAATCATTTTGCCATTCATGATTGTCAGAAAATGAGGTTACACTAAAACTTGTTGAAAAAACAAGTTAATTGACAAAATTTTCGCGGGAAAATCGCTGGAAATTAATGGGTCTTTTCCCCGATACTTTTAAATAAGTTATACCTGTGTTTTCTTTTTAAGAACAATAATTATTCATTCATTTTACCTTTTCCTAAATTGTAATTTAATAGCCATATTTTTTAATCTTTGATGCAATCATGCACTGTTTATTTTTTCTTTTGTTTTTGTTCCTTTTTTCTCCTTTGTAATTGTCCGTACTATATTCCCTTTTAAACACCCAAATGGGTTTATTAATTGTTGCTCTCTTTAAATCAACTTTCAAAACAAACTCCAGGCTCCAGGACCTGTTGATTACACACTATACATGTATACAGCAGGTGACGTAGATTTTTCTACACACTACACTGCCATATATGGTAAGTACACACGACTGAGTGACAGGTGTAACATACGTAATGATCTATAGATTATGCTGGCTAGTGAATGGAGTTAATTAACTGGGTTAATACGGTTAAGTGGCAAGGTAATCTAAATTTTCAAGTGTACCCCTAAAATTTAACAAAAAACAAACAAACAAAAAAAAAAAAAACAAACAAACAATAACAAACAAGAGGGCCATGATGGCCCTGAGGTCGCTCACCTGTATATAGCCCCCCCCCCCCCCACCCCCGAACCAATTTTTACCCAAGGGCTTTTATTTGTTTATTTGAACAGACTTGGTAGACATCCATAAGAAGATGTTTCATGCTAAACATCTAAGTTCTAGCTCATTGGGTTTTTTAAAAGAAGATTTTTAAAGTTTTTACTATACACATATAGTTAAAAACAATGACACCCCTGGGGCAGGGCCAGTTTTGACCCCCGGGCTTTTATTTGAACAAACTTTGTAGATATTTACTTAAAGATGTTTCATGCTTAATATCTAAACTCTAGCTATTTGGGTTTTTTCAAAGAAGATTTTTAAGTTTTTGCTATATATAAGGAAAATCAATGACCCCCCACCCCCGGGCGGGGCAAGTTTTGACCCCAGGGCTTTTATTTGCACATACTTGGTAGACACCCATTAGAACATGTTTCATGCTAAATATCTTAGCTTTAGCTCTTTGAGTTCTTTAAAAGAAGATTTTTTAAGTTTTTACTATATGCATATATAGGGAAAATCTATGACTCCCTGGGGCGGGGTCAATTTTGACCCCAGGGCTT